ATAGTGGTTATTTTATGCTTGTAGTCATAAATAAATGATCTTCAGCTAAACATGGTGCACTAGTATTATGGTCTTAATTTCTATTTATCCAGCATGGTTAATATTATATTACCTGCTACTTGTGAAGGTCTTAATTAAGAAAACGGGACTGATGTGATTCTGCTATTCTGCAATTATGCATTAATTGGTTCTTCTGATTCCTGTAGTGATATATTCAGTTATTAGAAACATAATCGCGAACCAATATATGAGTGGTTGAACATATTTCTCCTTTTACAATATTTGAATAATTGCATTGATAAATATTATGCTTATGCCACTTGCCACATTTCTGGTTACTTGTTTGTGGCAATTTCCTTAAATTGGAATTTTAATCAGTATAATCTTACATATGTAATTTAAATGTTCCAGTAATTAGTTGATTAGTTGCCTTTTTTTATTCTATTTTTTCATTTTTTTTTTTCTGGTTGGTGCTTTACAGGCTTTACTTCATTTTATCTACTGGGATGCTCTACCCGATTTTGAGGAACTTACTGGAATGAATTCAAAGTGGGCCTCCACCCTGGTGTCACAGCATCTACTTGCTGCAGCTGATCGGTATGGTTTAGATAGGCTGAGATTACTGTGTGAGGCTAACCTTTGTGAAGAAGTTGCCATCAATACTGTTGCAACAACACTTGCACTTGCAGAACAGCACCATTGTTTCCAGCTGAAATCTGTCTGTCTCAAGTTTGTTGCCCTTCCCGAAAATCTTAGAGGTAAAACTTTTGAGTTTTGCTTTTAGCATTGTGATTCTGTTTACAATATTTATTTATTTATTTATTTTGGGGGGTTTGGATGGTGCTGCATCTTTTCTATAGTTAAATGGCTAAGGTATTCTTGAGGTTTGACATTATTATCGAAAAACCCCTCCATCAATCGGAAAAACTATGCCTAGGTCTCTGTGAAAGGATATAGATATATCCAAAAAAACCCAATCCAATACAATCCAATCCAATCTAAAAATCTAACTCAACTTTAACTCAAACCTAAAATCCTCAAGATTATAATATAATTAAATAATACCGATCAATCATGTTGACACATCACATCAACATTAATTTACTATTCATCAACTCACATAATTTTAACTATCCATCACTTCCAATCACCTCTTTCTTACTTTTACATCAAATCAACTTTAATTATTTTATTTTGAATATTATTTTAATACAAACTGAAAATCTCATTAAAAACTAACCAAACCAACCTTTTTCAAATCAAAACTCAATTTATCCATATCCAAGTTAACACTGTATGCAGCAACTCGTCGTATTCTGTAATTTGGAAGTTATATGAATTTTACGCAATTATCTCAGACCTTGATGAAAATATGTTCCCAATTCTTACCCCTCAAACAAAAGATTAAATGACTAGTTTATATGAACTTATTTTTTATCGAGCCTCTGGAGACCCTATGTAAGTAGATCAACTAATGAAATGAATTTTGGACAGCTGTTATGCAAACGGATGGTTTTGAGTACCTGAAAGCAAGCTGCCCGCACGTGCTGACCGAATTATTAGAGTACGTAGCTAGGATCAACGAGCACTCGATTGTGGGCAAGCAAGGAATTGAAGGAGTAATGGATGGAGGTGATGCCAATGGCAGACGTGTGAAGCAGAGACTGTAGATATTATTGCTGTTGGCTGGTAAACAAATCTCCTTAGACGCGAAAAGATACCAAAAGCCAAATATATCCTTTGTTAGGATTTGCTGGAAAGAAATTTTTTTTCGCTTGCTGTAGTGTCTAGTTTGACACCAGTTGTAAATGAATGCATTGTATTTTTACTCGTATGATCTCGAGTTAAGTTGGACCCTTTTAGAAGGCATCAGAGGCATGTTTGTAATATTTTGAGATCTTTCTCTGTATTCTGCTGGAGAAATTGGAAGTTGTGTATTGGCTTATTTTGACTCTGGACCTCTATTCTATGCCTGTAATTGAGACTCTGCATAAATGTAACTGTGGACTTGGACATGGTTTTGCTCAGGTTTGAGTACTTTCTATGTTTATTTAGTTCTGAATTATGATGTAATTGATGATGTTAATTTATCAACTACATAAATATTTAGTTGAATTATCTCGAGCAGTTAAATAAAAAATGGTTTGATTGTACAATGTACAACTCTTAGTCTAATTCGAGCCATTTAGTTTAATTAGGTTTTTGATCTTGATTTATCAAACAGAATATGAATTTGTAATTTAGTTTAATTAGGTTTTTGATAAGTCTGCAAAATGAAATACTTGTACAGGGTGTGTTTGTAAAAGAATTTACGCTCAACAAATTAATTAATACTCAAAATTTAACTCAATTTTAATTCAATTTCACTATCTTCCATATTATCAATATTATAAAATAAAAAACAATAAATTACCAATCATTTTTACACATCATATCAATTTTAACTCACTATTCATTCACTCGCATAATTTTAAACTCACCATCACTTCATATCACATCTCTCCAATTTTTACTATCAAATTAACTTTAATTATTTTATTTTAAAAATTATTTTAATATATTTTCAAATTTCCACTAACAACTAATTATATTATTTTTTTTCTAAATTAACTATAATTAACTAAAAAACTCATTTTGAGTTAATTTGATTGAATTTATCTTTTTACAAATACACCCTTACACTTTAGCATTTCATAAAGAATATTGACCCTTGTACAGTATAATATTGATATAATAATAAGAAAATATAGTTTATGTTAGAATAAGAAATACAAAAGAATTTAAAAGGAAGTTTACGATAATCTTTCAATATGTTCTACTATATATTCTAGTGTCAGCAAGTGAGACAAATTTCATAATAAGAAAGGATAGTTTATAGAGATAGAAATGTGGTCTAACATTTAAAAAATAACAAATAATTTTCCAAATCTTGGCTTAGCCAATTTGTAAAAGCATGTTTGGATATGAAATTTTTTTGTTTGGTTGGATTTTTTGTTTGATTTGGTTAATTAGGTTTTTGATCTTGATTTATCAAACAAAATATGAATTTGTAATTTAGTTTAATTAGGTTTTTGATAAGTCTGCAAAATGAAATACTTGTACAGGGTGTGTTTGTAAAAGAATTTACACTCAACAAATTAATTAATACTCAAAATCTAACTCAACTTTAACTCAATCTCACTATCTTACATATTATCAATATTATAAAATAATTATTAAATAAAACCAACCATTTTTACACATCATATCAATTTTAACTCACTATTCATTCACTCGCATAATTTAACTCACCATCACTTCATATCACCTCTCTCCAATTTTTACTATCAAATTAACTTTAATTATTTTATTTTAAAAATTATTTTAATATATTCTCAAATTTCCACTAACAACTAACTATACTATTTTTTTTTTTCTAAATTAACTATAATTAACTAAACAACTCATTTTGAGTTAATTTGATTGAATTTATCTTTTTACATATACACCCTTACACTTTAGCATTTCATAAAGAATATTGACTCTTGTACAGTATAATATTGATATAATAATAAGAAAATATAGTTTATGTTAGAATAAGAAATAAAAAAGAATTCAAAAGGAAGTTTACGATAATCTTTCAATATGTTCTACTATATATTCTAGTGTCAGCAAGTGAGACGGAAATGAAAAGACGTAAGAAGCTCTAGGATGACTTTTTAATTCTTTTTACCAAGTAATTTAGTACCCTTATGCATCAAGAAATCAAATAGCATAAAGAAATTAAATAATAAGAAAGGATATAGTTTATAGAGATAGAAATGTGGTCTAATAATTAGAAACAACAAATTATTTTCCAAATCTTGGCTTATCCAATTTGTAAATGTTGCCTCCTTGGCTCCTTATAAGGGCCTTTCTGTATTAAATGCAAACTTGGGGGACCTTTCTGCAAATCCCACTCATATTTCTCCAAGGCGCACTTTTAGCTCTTATTATGCCCCTTCGACTTTTGTGTTTGAAGTAGAAAAACCTCTGCGAGAAATCCTCTCCCCGCGAAGAAAAATGGTGAGCATACATTTTGTTCATACCTCAGCTTTATTTGATTTATTATTATAGTCTGGGTTTAAATCTCGAGTTTTTGTGTTGCTTTGTTCTTGCAGCTGTTCTTTTCGTACTTCAAGGATTTGGTGGGGAGAGAAGTTACGGTGGAATTGAAGAACGATTTGGCTATCAGAGGAACCCTTCATTCCGTGGATCAATATCTCAATATTAAGTTGGAGAATACGAGGGTTGTTGATCAAGACAAGTACCCCCACATGGTAATTGTTTTGTAATTCGTTTCGATTTTATCTGTGTTTTAAGGATTAGGATTTTATCTGTGTTTTAAGGATTAGGGTTTCAATTTTCGAAAATGAGTGGATATTCGTGGTTATCTGTTGTTGTTGTTTTTTTTTTTTATTATTATTGCTGTTGNTTTTTTTTTTAATTGCTGTTGGGATGTGATTTAAGAAAGAATTTGATGCGAGAGTGTTTGTGAGGTTTAATTAGGGTTTTAGGGTTAACATTTGTAAAATTTCATATGTGCTGTGGCCTGCACTAGAACATATGGTGTAGGAATGAAAGATCAGTTTTTTTTTATGATGGGAAGTTATTGGAATGTTGGTTGTTAGTATTTTTTATACCTCGTTTCTCAGTTCTGTTTCCGGATTGTTAGTTTGAGTGCTGAATGTTCTTCCTTATTGCTCTGGGCCATCCTTGTTAAGCTAATGGTTTTAGATTATACTCTGAGCATTGATGGTGAAATGTGCTTTGGAGTTGTGTTGTGTTGATTGAGTTATTGGATCTGTAAAGTACCCGAGATTGCCCAAAGTCATATTTTGTAGGAACATTATCTAGATCTTGAACTAGTTTGTTTATTTAATTAACATTGCGACTTGAGGATGATTTATATACGATTGTTTGGGTGCTTTCATTGGGTATATTATATGCGTCTTATAAATTTACATGTATATATTTCTTGTATTGATGATAACCCATTTCCCACAGAAAGCAAATTTTGTGTCGGAATTCTATGTTCGGCAGTTTGTTTCAACCCTATTCTGTACGTTTTACATCATCTTACCAGATGATTTTGTTTTTAAGTGTTGGCACCTCAGTTAAAACTATGTTTGGTAAACCTAGTTGATAAGCTAGCTTATAGCTTTTAAGTGAATTTCGAGCTTATAGCTGAAAAACTAGCTTATGTGATAAAAGTGTTTGGTAAAATTAGCTAGCTGAAATAAAATTTCGTTGAGCTTATTTGAAAAACTACCCAAAAGAAGCTGATGAGATAAGCTCGAGCTTCTTAAAAAAATTCGTACTAGCAAACCTTGCTTATTTGAATACAGGAAGCTCATAAGCTAATAAAAAAAGGTATAACTAGCTTATATGCTTACCAAACATAACCTTAAGTTTCTTGCACATATCCTGGTGGCAATATCAGTATATCACGATCCTGTTTTTATCACATGTTAGCTACTGTTTATATTAGGCTGAAACGAATTTCTATGTCCTTTTCAATCTCATATTCCGCACCCTCGATTTAATTAATTGATATTATCGTATTTGTCCGACAGCTTTCTGTGCGTAACTGCTTCATAAGAGGTTCAGTCGTCAGGTACGTTCAATTGCCACCCGAGGGAGTTGATGTCGAGCTCCTTCACGACGCCACTAGAAGAGAAGCTCGTGGGGGATAGTTCGTTCGTTTTTCGCTCTTCATGCCTGTATTTTAATGAATCCAAAAATGTCATGTGATTTATGTGGTTGGAAATTTGGAGGCGTTCTTCATATTTTTGTACCATTCGAGGGTGATTTTTATCAATTTTTTTTGGCATATGGGGACCTGTGGCAGATCGTTTTGTTTAATTACGCTTTAGGGGTACGATGGATAAAGATGGTTGATACAGTTGAGATGGGATTTTGAAGATCAATCTTTGCATGTACTATGAAAATCAAAAGTAGTAGTTTTTAAGAATGTTCGGTTTTTTTTTTAGTTCAACTGAGTTATGAGATCTCGTTAAGGATTTGTATCTTTGCTACTCGGGCTCGGCCTAGTCTGAATGAAAACTGGCTATGATTTATTGGCCCTCTGGAAAATCGGGCGTTGTGAACGAGCTTTTTAATATATTGAAACCAAGATGCAGGCATTGATGAATTAAGAATGAACTTATGGATAAGTAGTTTTTCCAAAAGGTCAAGCAAATGATACACTTTGGGAGAAATTCATTTTTATTAAAAGCATTTCTTAAATGGACTTTATCAAAATGGTTTCAAACAAGCATTAGTTTGCCTAACAAATGTGTACTCATGTTTAACAAAAAAAATACATATTTATTTATAAATTATCCAATGAATTTATCATTCATTTGCTCATTCACAGCAATCATGATTTATAATAATATTATTATTGTTCAAATAGTAGTATAATTTTTCATGTGCTCATTTGTGACAGTCTTGATGCTATCATTTGTAATTATTATTACTGAGATATGATACTAATATGAAGTCCAAATATTATATTTACCTGAGATTCACAGATCATTTTACTATTTTTTTTATCGGTTTTGCTATAAAGCCAACAATTGGCTCCACGAGCATGAGTGTAATTTTTTTTTTTTTTTTCCCTTTTCATGGTTAGCACAATATCACAAACTGGATAAAAATACTACGATATTATATGTCTCAGGGCTCAAAGATCTTGCCGATTATCTTCCTGCTTCCTTGGCGACCATTGTAAGTTACTTTTCAGCAGAAGTGAGTCGGGGTATTTGGAAACATGCTTCCATGAACGGGACCGACTGGCCAAACCCTGCTGCAAATCTATCCATGGTCGAAGAACGGATAAGAAATATCCTGGCTGCCACTGGTGTCGATGTACCATGTCTTAATATAGGTGTGTCTTTTATATTTTGATGTGCACTTATTCATTTTTTGCTATTAAGTATGCTGCATTGTTGCCTGCCATTGCCCAGTTTTATGTTTAAAGTCCATTAACATATTTATTTCAGTTATATAAGTTTTTCCCGAAAACCAGATTAAACAAATGATAGCATGATGACCACTCTCTGGATGAAATTAGGATACCTTCTACACTGTATAATAGAAAAAAACCATCCATCTTTCACTTATGGATGCCCCTTGAGGTTTGTATATCCTCCATATATATAATTCTCGGATGCGCTGAGCCTACGTGGCTGTTTCTGGTGCTTCGAAATCCTACTTGCGAAAAATCATGGTTCGTAATTAGGTTTGGACAAATAATATTGATATATTAATAATTAATAATCTAAGTTTTGGCATTCCATAAATATTATTTATCTAACTTAGTTATTTTAATATCACTTGTATTTATTAAAATTCATTAGAAAAATAAAATTATTTATCAATTGATATATTTATTTTTAATGTAGTTATATGTTGTAAGTTAAAAATTATTATAATATAACACAAGTAAGTCGTACAAATAAAAAGTATTATACTAAATACATAATAATATATATATTTTTGTAAAAGGTATTTAAATTTTCAACTACTTTTTTTTATTAATTTTAGACTTTAAGAAAAAAATTTGCAAACACCTGTGTAATACATGGGTGTTATACTAGTAATATAATATACCTTTAGAATCATCCCGTCTGAGTGAGGATGTATCGTGTAAAAGGGAAACGTCAAGAGGGTTCCTTGTGATCACCAACCATAATATATGTGATGATCTTGTAAGCTCTATCGCCTGGTCTCTGACTAACAGCTTCACTGGTCTGCGTTGAGATTGAAAGGCACGAGACTATATATCTTGCGGTTGTGTTATCGTGATTACTTCAAAAGAGTAATGCTCTCCTACCCACGGTGGGCACATTTTTATATGCCCACCGCTTATTCACTGGCCTAACTTTTCCGTCCCTTCGAATTGTTGTTTTGATTTTCCTCCCCTATGTTTGCAAAAAATGTTACAAAAAGTCGAGCATATACAAGGGATGAAATTGCGACATTTTTTGCAAATTCGAAGAGGACCTTTTTTGTAACCTTATTGCAAACTAAGGAACAAAATCCAAAACAGCAATTCACTCTAAGGGGGACCAAAAAAAAGTGATGGTTGATAACATAACATGACTGAAATTGCAATTTCCTCTCTAACATTTATGCTGACTCGAGATTTTCCTCCTTTATGTTTGCAAAAAAAGGTTAAAAAAGGTCCCCGAGCACGAAATTGCAACCTTTTTGACAAATTTGAAGGGGACCTTTTTTGTAACCTTATTGCAAAAACATAAGGGAGGAAATTCGAAACAGCAATTCATTCAAAACAGCAATTCACTATCGTTCCTATTCTGACTCGAAACCATCCTCCCAACTTGTCGGCGCAAGCTCTCAAGTGACCCTCCCGCTGCCCCTGGCCGCCCTCATCAGCCTCACGATAACTTACAATCCGGACCATATCACCGACAAGCGCTACCTCGACTTAATGGCCCCTTCCCTCCGGGACCTTTGCATGGGCTGCCCCTGGCCCAGCCTGCCAGTTATATCCTCCCTATGGTCCCTAAAGGTAAACCGCTGGTCCGATTTCTTCTTCTTCTTCTCCGCCTCCCAAACCGTTTTCCACCACTTCCCGGACTCAATCGTCCAGCTCCTCCACGCCTGCTTCTCTTCCTCCTCCTCCGGCTTGGTGAGCCCACTTCTCGGCCACGGCTTGGAATGTTCCAGCTCAGCAGCCGTAACTCCCGGCACTCTCTTCCTCCACATCCACCACGTTGTGAGGAACACGACTCTCGTAACCGAGCAAGTGGTTCATCTCCTCATGCAAACAGTCGAGGAAGTCAAAAATCCGACGGGAAGACAAGTGTCGCTTTCCGGCGCCGTTGACCGGGTGAAGTCTGCCGCCTCTTTAGGGGCCTCGCTCGTCTGGATCACCGGCGGGCCCAATGATGTCCAGGCCCTATACAAGGAGATACTTCCGTC